TATATTTAATCCGCATGTGCGGGTAAACTGGCCAAGCTACAATGAACAAAATAAACTAAAACCCAGGACCTCGGGTAACTTACTGGTAGTTAAATACACTAACGTTCACAGAGCTGTCTGTATTTTTGTTATTTTATTCATTAGAGCTTGAGCTGGAATCAGCAATGGTATCTGCCCATTTTTAAATGGCCTTGGAATGCTGTACGGCAGCCTCAGTTGCTGCAGCTATCAATTCGCCATGTTCTAAACGAGCCGGGATCTGGGTTCGAGTTACGACCGCAAAGCATCTATGGATTGCTTGGAGGGACAGCCAGAGTCCAAACAATATGGCTGACAGTGTAAATGTAGATACTAAAATAGTAAAACTAACAGAAAGTGACATTCCTGGAGCGAAACTTCCAAGGGATTCTGTTGAGAAATGTAGTTGTGTTCAACTAAAGAGGTGGCTGCTTTGTAGAGGCGCAAAAACAACAGGAGTAAAGAAAGTTTTAGTCTCAAGGTTCGTATATGGCGTTACAATTTAACTTATAAGACTCGCATATCATACAGGCTAGATTTTCGAACTCCAATGCRGCATAAAGCCTCATTTCATTGATATRTCTTATTATTTCAAATTACAGAGTACAGGATTACATGAAACATAGTCTTGACGTTAAATACTTGCGTGATCCAGACGGTGGTGTAAACCTGCTACGAAAGAAGGCAAAACTTGGCGTCCTTGACCACCAAGAACCAGAGATCACGGAGACTTTCCCTAAAGAAGGATTCGAAGCCGATCTAAAGGGACTTCCAAAAATATCATTTGGAACTGTGTGGAGATTCATGATAGAGGGAGTAGAGTGCAAAAAGCAGCTCTCCACTGCAAAACCACTTCTAAAGGGCTTCAATTTCTTCAAATCTGGACATGTCCTTTACATTGGCCACTTACATGAAAACGGCAAACACTTTATCAAGAGTCAAGTTCTGCCATCAATGAAAAAAGACAAAGTCTACACATGTTTTTTAGTTATTAGCTCATTTGGCAAGATACTGAGGGCACACTGCAGATGCCCTGCTGGCATAGATGGCCGATGCAACCATGTTGCATCAACACTGTTTGCACTGGAACAACATTGTAAAGAAAGACAGAAGATAACAGTAGTAGACACAGATGATTCTTGTACGTCTAAACCCTGTAAGTGGAATGTCCCTCGAAAGAGAAAAGGCCCTGTACAGCCAATAGCTAAAATGAGTTTCGTGAAGCATGATTATGCAAAAGAAAAAAAGATACCCAAGCTTCATCACTCCAAGGAAAATTCAACCACAGAAAGTTGTCMAGAYGAAAAAACTGCAAAAATGTTAGAAATGATGAAAGAGTATCAAAAGCTATCAGGGAATATTCTTGCCTGGACGCATATTCTGCCGCAAGAAGTAAAGAAGCCTGCCATTTCACCAGTAAAATGTCATCGTGTTTCAGCTAGAGAGTTGAAAGAAAAATTTGATAAAGTTAAGAGAAATCTTATGGTTGATGATTTGAAAGTGAAAGAAATTGAGAAACAAACTAGAGGTCAATCGAACATTGATTTGTGGCATCRTCACAGACAACCAAGGATAACTGCTACGAAATGTTACCGAGTAGCTGTACAGAGAGAGAGCACATCTCCTACCAAGATTATCAGAGATGTACTTGGTTACAATAAAGGATTCCAAAGTAAATCAATGGAGGAAGGATTAAAGATGGAAGACCAGATTATCGATGATTACAAGCTTTTCAAGCAAACTCAAGGAGCTGAAGGCATMAAAATCTCTAAGTGTGGTTTTTTTGTTTCAAAAGATCATTGCTTCCTTGGTGCAAGCCCTGATGGTCTTGTATATGATCCATCAACTGATGATTCAGAAGGACTTATAGAAGTAAAGTATGTTCAGACATCAAAAGATGAAACACTAGAGATGGCATTAGTGCGCAAAGGCATTTGTAAACAAAACAATGACATTGTARGATTAAATGAGAGACATAAATATTTTTACCAAGTACAACAGCAGATGTTTGTGGCAAAGAGAAAATGGACAGACTTTGTTGTAAAGGGTTCAAGCTGTAGTTCACTGTTTTGTGAAAGAGTAGTTTCTCAAGGGATCACTGGGAATCTATTTTGCCCAGGCTAGAATCATTTTTTAACAACTGGATTGTGCCAGAACTTGTATACCCAAGAGTTAAATTTGGAATTTCTAAGTTGGATGCTCGTTCACTTTAAAAACACTTTTAAAGCATTTTGTAAAGTAGAGTAAAAACACTAAAAGTGTGCAATACTTTTCTCTATTTTAGTACTAAATAATACCGATTTAATAATATAAAATTATATAATTCACACAATTTAGCTTAAATTAGTACTATAAAATGTTGCACACTTTAAATGTTTGTTTTTTATTATTTCTAAAGAGTTTTCAATGAAAAAAATCCATATTCATACTTGAATCTTTTTATAATCATAATTCTTTTTATTTGTCTATTTGTACATTAATTGATGATGCTATAAACTATGATGTTGTAGAGTATTATTCATTGATTTATTTTGTTTGATCTAAGTAATAAATTTTGTTAGTGTTATAAACTGTTACATTGTCAATTGATTAATGGAGGGTGAAAATTAGATAGTGCACCCACTACAAATAGCATATCAGTTGCTATTGGAGAAAGAGTAATGGGAATTCTATGATCAAATATGTGCCAATTCTTCACTCTTTCCATTAATCTCYCAACRTGTACTCTTAGGCTTGCGACTGTCTTGTTGTGGTTGGTCTCTTCTTTTGAGAATTGTTTCTTTTTGTCCAAAAATGCTGGCCTTATTAGTTCTGCTCCCACAGAAGCTAACTCATCAGTGCAGTTGAAACCTTTGTCTGCCATAACTTTATCATGTGGTAGTAGTTTGCCCAAAAATCCACTTTGAGCTGTGATCTMCTTGTCTGATGTTGAACCAGGAAATAGCTCACTAACAAAACACAAAGCACCACTGGGTGTGATGCCAAGCAAGGCCTTCATGGTCGTTCTGGACTTGTATGATGAATAGCAGGCAGATTGACAGTTAAGAGAAGATGGTTTCTCCATTTCAAACTCAGTACAGTCCACAATTACCACACAATCAGGGTAAAAAGACTTAAAAATGTCAGGCATGTACATTTTAATGACATCTCGTGGAGGTATGGTAATAAGTGGTTCAAACTCACTCCTCAAGAATCTAATCCAGGCATTAGTAACTTTAGATACTGTGGATCTTGACACATTAAAACGATGGGCAAGATCCTTCTCAAATAGTCCAAGTCTCAATCTCATTAATACTAATGTGAACTCTTGAAATTTGGTCAGACATCGAGGTCTTCCGACATTTCCACAACTGACCCTTTCATGTTCATATACAATGTTATTAGCAGAATCTTCAACCATCTTAAAACRAAGAAGCATTGCCTTGTAGTCAGGGAAACCCGTGTAAAAAGCAATGTCTTCATTTTTGTCTTTATATTTCTCAACATCAAATCGAATGTTTTGCAGAGAATATCTTAGTCTCTTTACTTCTTGTTCAAGCTTACAATTGGCCTGGAGCAGGGTTGTATTTTCATCGCTTAACTTCACATTTTCGTTTTGCAGCTTCTCCTTTTCTTCAGTCAGTTTAACAATGTCCTCTTTGTGTCTCTGTAAATCTTTCAGCAGCGATTCAATGTCCAAGCTCGTAAGAGATGTTTGACTGGTCGTATTTGTTTGTGTTTCGATGGCAAGGACTTCGAACGTGTCGTTACGTTCGCCATCATGATCACATGTCAGAGAAGCCTGACTTGAGTTTTCCTTTAGCAGCCTTCTCTGTCTCTTTTCTTCCTCGATTTCTTTAATTTTATCAAAACTGACTCTTTTAAGTTCTCTTCTTTTGATTTCTGGCTTTGTCCAGGGGAATATCGACGGCAAATGAGTGCGGCTTAGTTTCGCACCACCTTCAAAATGTTCTGAGCAGATCCGTGTACTTGTTGAGTTCAATTTCAGGCTATCATTCTTCAAAATAACTTTGTAGGATTTTCTAACAGCCTCATCTTTCGGTATCCTGTAGTAGTGTAAATGAGAAGCGCTTCTAAAGCTATTTGTACAGCCAGGAACACAGCAATTATAGTGAGACATCTCAACATTCCTATAACTGCTTTGTAAACATGGCGACTCTGTCCCTCCAAGCAATCCATAGATGCTTTGCGGTCGTAACTCGAACCCAGATCCCGGCTCGTTTAGAACATGGCGAATAGTATTTGCAACAGGCTTAACACGTGACATCTGTTCGATAAGAAAGCGCGAAACTACAGCAATCTAACTTGTACATCATTTCGTGCTAGCTTGATTGCTTGAACTTCGGTAGAATCTTTGTCTTTTATCGTTTGTTATATGGTGGAAATATCGTGCTGCAAAACTCCCTGAAATGTCCCATTTTGGTGGGGTAATTCACACGGCGAGTGGCGCACTTGCCATCAGTGAAATGCAGGTCGAACAGGGTTTACATGTAATCGAACCACTGCCGCCATCAAATGCTAAACAAAGACGTCTTTCCCGTCCCAACACAAAGGATGAAATACGAAAGATGAGACACAGAAGAAAGCAGCGAATTCAAAGGCAAAATAAGCTGTTGTCCAAAGGGGAAAAACGAATTCGCTTAAAAAAGTTGTTCTCCAAGCAACACGACATTGAATGCCAGCAGTTGAAATATGAATTACACAAGCAAACAGTGTTTGCCAAAGAACAAAGAGCAAGAGCCATATGTTTTTGGAGAAAATGGAAAGAAACAAGACTGCTTGTTAAAGATAACGAATCAGGGTAAATTATTTCTATTTTGATATAAATTTGAATATAGTCAGCATTCATAACTTTTCATTYGATTATTATCGAGGCTTTCCTTGTTAATTTCGGCCCCAATCCACCCGAATCCCTCGAGGAACGCCTACGATGCTCGTCGGTTTAAAAGCTTTCTATATTCATTTTTTATAGGCAACTTCGTCAAATAGATCAAGAAAACATACAGGATCTTCCACAAGAAAAACGGCTTGGTGAAGGACGATTTGGAAAGTGTGAGAAAAAGCTTTACAGGGGAAAATTTGTTGCAGTGAAGTACTTTAAGCCGTCTGTCACACTTTCCATGCTTGAAAGAGAAGCTAAACTGATAAATTCCTTTGATCATCCAGGTAGGTTAAAGCAAAAAAAGAACTTGGATGTAATATTTAAGAGAGATCCATATCTCTCTTTATTTGATTCCACTGTTATTCGTGATATTATTTTTTTCTTCCATGGGTTAAATATCTATCTTGAATGCTATAAAGGCACAACTGCACTTCTCTCACTATAAATTCGTGCCATCTTGTTCCTAAAAAACCTACCTGTTGTAGAGTGTAGTAAGACAATATTCTAAATATTAAAATGCTGTCTTATTTGTTTCTTAGCAATGTTTTATGAATATGTTTTATTGTTGAGAATACGTGTTACATCAAAGATGTAATGTTTGTGGACTAAATTTAAAGCATTCTTCGTTTAGCCTTTCTTAATAGATCAACTGAGATGGTAAATGTTTCATTGCTACCAGTACTGGTATCTCAAGAACATTTTCAGTTTTGTGGTTGAATTCTAAAAATATTTCTGTTGGATGGCATTTAATTGAAGAGCATATTTGTTTTTGTCTTTAATGACTCCCCCATCACACACATTTTAATGCTGTTCCATATTCAGTCAATCCTAAGAGCTGATATTCAGCCATTGGTTATTAAAATAAACACAATCCCTTGTTGAGTCAATGTAAAAAAATCAGTAATTAATTTTTTTCAGGGTTGCCATTTGTTTTTGGAATATCAATCAAGCAGAAGCCATATTTTATGGTTGTTGAATTTTATGGTATTGGAAATGGTGAAACAGTTACACTTGCAGAAGGTGCAAAACGCAATTTGCTTAAGACTCAGAGTAATTGGGCTGAGAGTCTTTTGCATTGTTCTGAAGCTATTGCCTACTTGCATGAAAGGGGGTATATACATTGTGATATCAAGGGTGACAATATTGTATTTCACACTGTAGATGGGCAATACTTACCCATTATAATTGATTTTGGCAAGATGAAGAAATCATATGATGCCAAAAAATACACTTTAAGTATTAAAGAGCAAGATAGATATAGGTTAAACCATAAACACATTGCACCTGAAGTAGTTAGGGGAACCCATCCTTAGTCTACGGCAAGTGATGTTTATGCATTTGGGCTTATTATTTGACTTATATGTTATTATAACAAGTATGAAGACTTGAGATGTTTGGCAGTAAAGTGTATACATGGAACACCATGTAAACGACCAACAATAGACACAATCATTTCACGACTTCGTGCGATCAATAAATAGTTCAAGAATGACTTCAAATTTTTATTCATGATTTTTTWTATATTTTAAATTCAAGATCAAGAAATAGGGAGTACTAAATGTACACATGCTGACCTTGACCATGGAGATACTGTATGTTAGATCATTAAGTATGGAAGAAAGCATAGTTTATTTTCCAAAGAGCATATCAAATCCTTAGTTATCGTTCCTAAATTCCAGTTTATAAACAGAATCATAAATGATACAAAACTACATTTTTATGAAATTAGACAGTGATGTAAGGACAACAACTAAGATATTCCTAAGATTTTTCTTGTATGCTTTAAATGCATATAGATTGACTACTGTGATATTAAATATGCTTAAATAATTCCAACAAATTTCAAAAATTAGATATGCTCTTTCTTGTGAAGCTGATGATACTTTATATTTTGCATGGCTCTTCCCCAGGCTTTTACTAATTTCTTCAGGTGGGGTACCTCTACTTTTAACAGAAATGTTTTACCAAAGGAGTTATTACATATCTTTCTTGGTCATTGTCATTTTTGACTGTAGCAAAAGAACATTTTGAAGAAATTCTTTGTACAGGTATGAATCTTGAAGGCCCTCCTGGTAGAGTGTCCTTTTTGCTGGCAACCAGCATGGAATTGAAGTTTGCATAGGTTGTGTCATTTGATGGTTTATACCAGGTAACACATGCAAAAGTATGCTTGCTGTACTTTCCATTTGTAACTACTGAGTGTGTAAAATAGTAATCAACAGTACCAAAAGTGTAAGTTGAATTTATCTGGGTAATGTTGCCATGCATATCTGGCCAGGCAGCAAGGATGCCAGTGGACCGTCTGCTTCTATAAGCCATTTTTGAGCCAAAGTCAATACCATAAATTGTAATAGTACCATACTTCTTMAAAGTTCTGCTGAGATTTTCCTTTGTAACATGCATATCTATATACATTATGTTGTACACTTGGGAAATAATGTCAATGTCTTCCTCACAAAAAACACCTTGCTTGTAACTTGTAGGTACTGATACTGGAGAAACATTTTTCCAGTTTATATAATGCAGTGGAGATTTGGAATCCATGTAATAAAACTCGAGGTGGTCAAGGTAGGTTTCATTTGTAAAACTGGGGAGCTGGTCTTCTGAAATGGACTGAAGGGATGTTGTTAAGTCCGTAAATGATGATCTGAATTGTTCTGGCAAAGAAGTAGTATCAAGAAATCTGGTGGTACAAATTTTTCTCATTAGCTGTAGTTCAACTGATGTATTGTTGGTAACAATATTACCAAGAATTCCATTGTACCGTTCAAAGCTAAAACGCCAAAAACTATGTACTGGACCATAGTCAGTTATTACATCCTTCAAATGACAATGCAGGTGCATATTTGGTGTTATAGCTTTGATCCCATAGAGTGCCTGAAACTGTTTGCAAAATTTGATGATTAAGCCATCTCCTTTTATTATATCTTCTTGCAAAAGCACAGGTTTACAGAGGTATCTGCAAGCTAATGTAAATGTGTGCCAGGGAGTGAGRTGTTTATCCTCAATGACCCCTTTTAGTGCAAAAAGAGAATAATACAAATAGTCCAGTAGCAGAGTCCGGAAAATAGGGGTTTCGTTCAACTCACAGGTTAGAAAAGGTTTGACACCAGATTTTAATGGCAAAAGACCTCTTGAATAACCCAGAGCAGTTTTTAATGTTGAAATGTGGCATTTCCAGACTCTGCTACTGGACTAAAAGTCCAGTTCTTCCACTGTTCAGCAGTGTATGTCCCATAATTTGAAGAAATATTGTTTGGAAGTCTTCCCAGATGAGGTGGAACATCCATTTGTTCTATTCTAGCTACAACCTTTTTCAATTGCTTTGTTGATAAAATKCCTTCTTCAATCCAAAACCTAAAAACAAATTTGGCAGTACCCAGGAATAAATTGTGCATAGGATCTATGGCACAGAATCTTATWATGTCAAAGTATTCAAGGTCTAAGAGACTGGAATAGAAAGCTATGCCATACTTCTTTGATAACTCTGTGGCTTTTTTCTTTGTTTTGCTGTCCCTTATTCTTTTTGCATGTTTTCTGTGATTATCATTTGTTCGTTTTTCCCAACTGCTTCTGTCAAATCCAGAATAGTCCCTTTTTCYCCCAAAGTTACCTGGAAACTTTTTKAGACATCGAKAACATCCTAGCTCTGCACTGTGTCCCTTCAAACCACAAAGTTTTCTTGCTGCTGGGATATCAGATGAAGTACACAGTACTGCTCCTCTAAATTTCAGTTGAACACTTGACAGACTGTTTTTTAGGTACACTCCTGACCATAAAGCCTTGAGCTCATCAATGGCTGGTTTTAGAAATTCATTTAAGGATTTGGGTTCACGGTTCATTGATGGTATGATTCCTACTACAATTACATTTTCCCACTTAAATCTTTCAGACCTAGGTAAGTTTAACAGCACCAAGTATAACACACCTACAGAATAGTCTTTTCTTCTTTTCATGGGTTGAAAAAAATCAAAGTTTAGCATGAATCCATAGTTTCTTGGAGCATCCAAGAAGTCTTTGCCTTTGTATTTCTTGAAATCCTTCCAAAGCTGACCATCATAAATATCTGTCATTACTGGACCTGTAGGCTGACAAGCTCTCCATTCCTCACATTTTTCAGGGAATCCACTTTTCTTTACTAATTCTTCTAAGGGATTTATTATACCATTATAACAGTAGTAATGTATGGGGTAAAACTTTACTGCATTATTTTTTARTGTCACTTTCTTAACCAATGGGCTACCACATGTCTGGAGTCTTCTTCTTTTATAGGACTTGTTATTGCATGTTTTTCCAACTTGTATACCATTGATATAGGTTAGACATTCATCATATTTGTAGCATTTTGTACACTTTGGGCACACMACATACTTGGTAAAATTATCTCTATTCAAACTCAWATATTGTCGAACCATATACATGGAGCAAGGGAGTAATGCAATWATTTCTGTTAAGATTTCATTTGAGATGTGAAGATTGAGAGCTTTAAAAAACTGGAGAAAAAATCTTAAGAGCCATATGAGGCCATTATCACTCAGATGGCAATAGCTTTGCCAAATGAGAAGAAAATATAACAYCCAATGAAGAAGRGAATGCACAGTATGACAACTTTTTTTTGTTGGTTCTGGCAGTGGTGGTGCTGTTTCAATATCTTGGTTTATCAGGCATTCTGGAGTGTCAYCCCAAATTTCAYTGCAATCAGATTCTTCATCTCYKTCACTTCCATCATTTTCACTTTCATCCTGACTAATATCACTCTCTGTGAATGTTATGYCTTCATCATCCTGGAAAGTAAAAGTTATCGAATTGTTTAATTTCTCACTCACTAATATTAGCCAGTGGCAAAAAATCCATTACAGACATTTATATTTTCTTAATATTTTTTAATAATTTTTTTCTTAACATTTTTCTCTCACAGATACATTATACTATACAATTTCCTAGACGATTTTCATTTTTATAAAGAGTACTAGATTACAGAATAGCTGAGGATAGCCAAATCATCTTATCATATTTTTACATAGCTAGGAGTGTTGTGTTTTCTTTTATTATTCTATTCACTTATCCAATCTGAAGACTTTGCATACTAAACAAATATTAGACATTAAGATTCCACGTGTGGGTTCGCATAACAAGCCAATCCAGCTTTCACTCCAAACAWCATCTTGCTTTCAATATAGAAAGAATGAGGTATACGTATATGCTATATCTGTGTGGGCCTGAAGGTTATATAGTTCGCTTAACCTGGTTAAGGAATGAGACTTACCAACAGTATGTGAGAATTTGATTCAGCTTCAAACTCATGATCACTCGGTTCTGATTGTTGAAAACCACCTTTAGCAAATTTATGAGCGTTAGCTTTACACCAAGAAAATACTTTAGCGTACAAATAGTTCGTTTGTAAGAATAGTAAATTTAGTTAAATATTTTACAAAAATACGAACCTGGCGGCGATTCCCCTTCAGAATCAGACGATGAAGTTTCTTCATGCGGTTCAACTTTGGAATATTTGTTAAAACCAGTAGCTTTCCTTGCGAAACTAAACGAGTTCATGTGACGTCTATACGTCGATTCCGAAACTTTCTCATTGCAATGAGAACAATAAACATAGCCAGAGTTAGCATTAAGGCTTGTCATGTCGCTTGTACGATGTAATAATTACAAAATATGATGCTGAAAGTGCTACGTTTAAAGTAAGTAGACGCAGTTATTAAATAGCGGCGTCCAATGTTTGTTTACTAATTACCATGGGAACGGCAGGGCTGTTTTCGTCTTCTCGGAGTCGTTTTACAGTTTTTATTCTGTTTTTCCCATAGTTAATAGAGGGGATCTATTAACTATGGTTTTTCCGTAAGGGACCAGGCTTAAAAAGCATATCATTAAAWTAGAGGGCATCTAAGCTCACAGAAACGAGAAAAAAAGAATTGACACATCAATTGCTCTGTGAAACGCGATCCCTTTACATAGCTTTAGTTGCGCTTTAATTGCAAAGACCCACCAATACATCTTTACTTCCCTTTAATCACTAACTACAAAGTTGTTTAAACAGGAACATAACTTTATCCACGTTTACCACGCAACATTAACGGTATATAAATCCAACCGTAACCTTTATCTACCTTTAATATACTACCTTTGATGTYGTTTAAAGGTGACTTACATTTAACACGACATTACGACACCATAAAACATTTGTAAAGACAATGCGCCGTTAATTACCTTTATTTGATAGCTTAAAGGTAGAAATGTGCTTTTAATCATATTAAGCCTGAATATTAAAGGTGAATAAAGTTGTCATTTCGCCCTGTGATTCATCTGTATCCCATGGCTCTGTAGGAGCTCTAGTAGGCTGGATGGCAATCTTGGCTCTAAGATGTTAGCACAAGTTGATACACGTGGGACTTTCTTGGCTACCTAGGGTCTTTCTGTCTTGGTATATTTGCGTTTCTGCCGCCTCTCCAGGTGTCTGAGGGTTTCTTGTTGTTTCTCGATAAGAAGGAGCTGATAGGAAGCATCCCACCTGTTGATTTTTCGGTGGAAATAGCGGCGATAATCATTCTTTTTTGCAACACCTATAAGTAGAAACTGTAAATACGTAATTGTTATTTGTAATAGGAAATATATTTCTTTGTTTGCATTGTACAGCTGTTTACCTTAACCACTAAAGAGCTTCAAAGTATAATATTTCTTTAACATTTCTGGAACATGATAGACCAGGATATGCATATAGGGTGTTATTATTACTGTATGCATATATCCTGGCCCGCTACCACTCATAGCAATCATTTCTTTTCCCCATGCTAATGCCTGAAAAAAAAAATTTAATTGGATCTTGAAAGCATGTGATTAAGCTCACTTATGATATACAGTTCATAAGATAATTTATACAGAAGTAAAAAAGCAGTGTGTATATACCTTTTCCCCAAAGGATTCTGCACTCTCTTGAGTAAGAACAGTATTGACTTGACTGAGTAGATGGCAAAAATTCTTTAAAAAAAAGTTTTTGATATATAAGAAAAAAAGGATTTTTACATAAGTGCAATAAGTATTTGTACTTAAAACCCAGAGACTTTGGGTTTTCTCAACTTTTGCCTCTGGCAGAAAAGCATTAAAAAACTTTGGCAGTCTTTCGAGGAGGCATCTTTTCTCGTTCCCAAGCAGGGGTGTCCATTCTAGTTCCATGGCCTTATTATGCCAAACTTCAAATGACACACCCAAGGAATGGACTGAATCCAGAAAGTCCAGGAGGTGTTTCCCTTTCTTGTACCCTGGGGTTTTTACTTTTCCTTCTTCCTGAAAAGATTAAAATTAAAATATTTATATGATTAAAAAATATTGATGTAGCCATGTAAGCTAACTGGCTTAGAGTAGCCCTAACTTATAGGTTATATTCCAGTTAGCTTGCACCTCAACAAATGCATTGCTTATGGGACAATATTCATAAATGTAGGTGTATATACTTTGAAAATATCAACATCATAATATAGTTTTTCAATTACCTTATCCCAAAAGATGATATCTTTAATTAAACCCTCCTCCAAGCGGTTGGTACTGGCAGTTAGGCTCTGTGTGTCAGAGGGCCCCAAGTTTCCTAGACAGTTCGCCATGAAAATAGCTACAACTGTGGCTCATGTCACATCTAAAACATCAGAAATAATGTAGTTTGAGTGAATTAGGATTGCAAACAGTCCTCATCATTGACTTCATGTAAAGGCCTCAGTAATTTYTAAGTAGTTTCTTATAATTTACCTGTCTTGTTTATGTAGATTGCACCAAATACAGCTAATATCCGATGTAGCAGCTTTCATTCTCATGGCATTGAGAAGAAACTAGAATTCAAAGAAATTCATCATTCAGCTAATTTGCACCAGTACGTTTTCCAATAACCTTAAAAAATAACATACCAAAGAATGTCATTTGATTGTAGACTTCAAACTTCGAGGATTGCACTTCGACTAAGATTGCTATAAATTGGTTTCGAAAAACTGGTATTTCTCCCTTATCATCAACTAATTTCTATATAGAATATTAATCAGCATATTTTTCTTACATTACCTTATAATCTCCACCTAAGAAGAACTCCAACTTAAATTCCTTGTCTTGGACTTGTATCTTGCCAATATCAATGAGGCTGTTTACATCCTCATTGACATTGGCAAGGGATTCTTTCATGTTCCCATGATCTTCACTTCCCATTATCATGGCAACTGTGTGGATTGCTAGTGAAAAATGGAGAGAAACAGAAAAATGTATCAACTTTTGATGCTGGATATGCATGCACTATTTTTGTATATTTTGTATGAAATTGCATAATGATACTTATCAGCACTTGATAGGATGTTGTGCCCTTCCATGTCTAGAAGGGTAAAACTAAAAACAAATAAATTACTGGAATGAGACATTTTGACTCCATCTCCACTCAGTCTCACTCTTAATTTCTCCTGAGCTCCACCTGACTCCAACTAAAAGAAAAAAGAAAAAAGGAAAACTTATTAGGGCAATTCATATATAAGAAAAGAGAGATATAACGCGAAGAATGAAGAGATAGGGAAGATTAGAGACCCTAAGAAGGAATTTTTGTTTTTCACTTACATGTTTTTTAATCTCTTTTTCAAGCAAGTCTTTAAATGAGAGCTCAGCACCATGGCACCTTCCAGGAGTTCTGGTAATTTTCCATTTCTTGTTCATGTCTTTTGCACATTGTTCGATGGCATAGGTTCGAGGAGGGGTCGGGTTTACTTAAGTCAGCTCGTGATACCCTTCGAGGGAGATGGAGAACCGATCCATGATGTATAATATTGTATTTATTTTCTCCTTTTCGTTATTATTGAAAGTCTCATTTGATCTCATTTGACCTAATAAGAAAATCAAAGGCTTTCATGAAGATTTTTTCTTCAAGTATTTTGGAACAGTTGATTTCTGAATTTGTATTAAGATTTTGTTAACAAAAACAACAGAAAACATGTTAGCGTCCTTCGCAACGAAAAGCGTAAGGTTGATAGAAGTGTCCTAATCTTGAATGAAAAAAATTTAAAACGTTTTTTCACTTTTATTGAAACATTTAAAGTAACTTAAAGTATCTTAGAACAGTTGATTTTTGAAACTATTATTGACATGAGAGGAATTGAAGTTGTATTTTGATTTGTATCTTAAGACTGAGATGTTCATACAGGAAACATCTTGGCGTTCTTCGCAACAAAAAATGTTCTTGTAACTACGTAGATAGAAGTGTCCTAATTTTGAATTAAATTTTTTTTTTGACATTATCAATCAGAAAATGAAATTTTAATGTTGAATTAAAGGAATTAAGGTTAGATTAAGATTTATTTATGATTCATTTCACTTGGAAAGGAGTGAATATTACGTTGAATTCAGTGACTTATTTACGAAATAATAGATAACACTCTTACCATTATCGTTAGAGAACTGAAGGTCCACAGCTTCCCCTTTCGCTGTATCTTCGAATTCCACAACAGTGCCCTATAACGATATTAAAATTCAATGTTAATTAGCTGAAAGAAGGTTGCCTATGAATACATTTCATAATCTTCACTTGATTCAAAACAGTCCTATCAAACCTCAAAATTATAAAGATTCCCCACTTGAACTTGATGAATTATAACAGTCTGGAAAATATTTATCTATGTATTAATGTTTACCGATTCCGAAAGCTGTCCGGACTCCCTTGCTTCTTCAACATCTCCAAATAGATCATCATAATGGTTAAGAATTGGAAGAATTGGTATGTAATGAGGGCTTGTAGAGGAGCCACGACCAAGACTATAGGTTATTTGTGTTGGAAAATTTCCCAGCCATGTAGAGCGAGTTCCTTCGCAATAGCAGTTATGGCTTGATAGATCAGCAATTTACCGTGCCCAGTCGGTAAAGAAACGAAAGTATCGTTACCAGTAATAAAGGTCTGTACAGATTGATACTGTTGGGTTGTTAGAAAAATGTTTGCAGGAAGAAAAATTTCAACAACGTGAAAAATACAACTATTTAGATCGGACGCCAATGAAGATAGTGCGGACTCAAGTTTGGTCATTAGATTCTAGCCTAAAACATCAAAATCATTATCTATTTTCTGATCGGTCGATAAATTTCTGTTGCAATATCAGCAATTTGTACTGTCTGTGACAACAAACATGCTGTAGCCGTTTCGTTTTTCAGACCAAAATCGTGGAGGTTCCTAAAAGGCAAAGGTAAAATTTTAAGGTAAAAGGTAAAAATTAAAAGGCAAAAGGTAAAGGTTTTTCTGTGAGTAGTGACAATTACATATAAATCATATACTGTTAAGCTGTTACCTGAATTTTTTCTCGAAGGAATTGGATGCGCCTTGCAAGAGACATAGTAAACTCTCAGTTTTAGTCCATCAGCTGACCCGAGTCTAATACTCACTTAAGGGGAACAGATTAAACTCATTTTATGATAATCTTTGACTATTCAGGATTACAAAAAGGTATGATGGCAAATCTGGAACGGCAGCTTTCATGTTGAAATTGACATTTCAATCCTTACACTACATTCACTCAATGGCCGCCATTTTGTTTTTCTCGGTAAAGCTAAAGCGGCGTTATTCATTTATTATGAGGAATAGTTCGTCATTTGTTGTTCAACTAGTAGTGAATATGAATAAGTCAAATTGTATTCATTGTTCGTAAGGATAAATTACGTCAGCATTACGTCATATCTGATGTCATCTCTAACCTAAATATTGATATATTCCATTAAGTTCTATTTAAGTGTGCTTAAATTTTATATCCATTAGATGAATGTTTTATCTATTACATATTGATGTTGATGCTTAGAAATTTACTCTACAATGAAACTGAAGTACCATTAAATAAAAGATTCATGGTTTGTGGCCTTATGATGTCACTCGTATGGTATCAAAATGCACTAATAATGTACATTTCTTCATTTTTATATATTTCTCTTAAAAACAAATTCTATATTGATAGCAAACAATATATATTTCGGATCCCAACTTTTACCTCTTTCAGAACTTTCAGTCGTTGTAATACCAAATAGAACRTGTCTGTAGCAAAGTTATATATTTCAGACGCAACCGAATCTGGCCTTACACCCATGTATCTAACAGCTGAGTAGAACTGCAAAAGAAAGGAAAGAAAGATGTAAACTAACTGAACATGTTTGAAAATAGCTCTTTTCGTTCTATTACCTTTCTTGTTTTTTCCTAACTCAATAATATATGTACATAACAGCTTCAGTAAACAGAACTTCATGTGGTCAACAGCTATCAGAATCACACAACGTCAACTGCAAAAAAAATGAAATAAAACAATGTGAACAAATGTACATTACTTCGATGATCCTGCTTTGAGAACCATGTCCTTTCTTTATATAGCATTGTCCAAGAGATTTACTATGGCCAACTAGGAGTACCAAAACATCTGTATCATCAGCATGAATGATGCGCTTACCACCAGCGTGCTTTACATGAAGTATCATGCGGGTATCCGCCTCTTCGTGGTTGCACTGCAGTTCTGGAACCTTCTCGACACGTGTTGCAGATATCATCCAACATTCGTTATCGACAGTGACATATAATGAACGGTCATAGAGCTTGCTGCGGATTTCGTCTTTCTTCCAATGAGCCACAAGGAATTTCACAATTTCTGTCTTTGAAGAGACACTTCAGACTTTATTCCACGACTTCACTTTGAAACTTGGTAGAATGTTCTTGTACTTGACTCCTTCATTAGATGATCGTTTTGACCTCTCTGTTGCTCCGGAAGGAATCTTAAGCTTCTGAAGTACAGCCATACCATCGAAAATACTTGTTGATTCATCAGGATACCTCTCTGTCAACTTGACATGCTTCTCGAGCTGCTGTAAAAGCTTAGACTTGCAAGTTTTACGAGGCAGGCCATAAGGATCTGCAAGAGACCAGGGAAGTGGTCCAAGAGGATATTTGAAGACTGTTTTCATGTCAATCTTCCGGAACTGACTAAGTAACGCCATTCTTGAAAACAAAGCTCGGTCCATTTGTAAGGGAAGCAGAAGATCTTTTGCACGAACATTTGTGACATTCTTCATACTCCTGAACGATTTAAGCTTCATTTTCTTAAGAGGATCGAGGAAGTCTTTAGCTGGATTTGACAAGCATCGACTCATCACAAAGTTTCTCATAGCTGCCTTGCCTTCCCGGACATCAGGAGTCGCTGTCATTCCTGTTGACAAGTTGATAAGATCTCCATCGTTTGACCACGGGTTAGTGACAACATTTGTTAGGTTATACACAATCTGCTCAACAGCTTTAGAATCAGTTTTGATTCGTGCGGGAGCCAGCTCTTTGTGAACATATCCCTTGTTGGGAGTCATCGTCAAGTGTTCTCTTAGCAACTTGCTTCTTCTCGAGTCATTCAAAATCCACCTTTGAGTTGCGGCGAAATTTGCACTAAATCCAACATATCCTCCTCCAGTTTTACCGTCTCTGTTTACTGTATTCTCAATTGCTTTGTTGGCTTCATTGCGACCAAATGGGTTGTCTTTGTTCATCTGAACAGAAAAGTGACCGTCTTGAAATGACTTATGTACATCGGGCATGGTAGTTGGTAAGCTACGCATGTCGTTTAGAAATGGAATCAGGTAGCGCGCATAGTTCTGACGATCGTAGGCGAACGCCCGAGGGATGACTTCTTCAACAGAGGAAAGATAAAGTTCCCAGTCGCCAGTTCGTGTTGAATAGATAAGATTTAACGAAAGTTCACATAGATGCAGGTATGACAACCAGAAGCGTGCTAAATCAGTCTCCTTCTCTTTGATATCATTTACAAACACACAAAACTCATTCTTCCATCTAGAAAATTCTTGACTGTCTAGAACTCCTTCGAACTCTTTCGGACCAATGCTTAATTTAAGTTTCTCCATTTGGCGTTTTTCATCATTAGCCATTGCCAAAGAAGCTGCTGGTAGTGACGACTCGAATTCATTAACTAAAACTTGCATCATTCCTTCATAAGTGATCTTGTGGAGACGAACTGCATGGTTATAATGCTTGCCACTTAATACTTTCTCGATAAAGCCTTCTGCCACGATGTCACTTTCAACAGCAAGCTCTTTAAGTCCTGCATCGCCGAAGCGATTTCCGATCACACCCATCAGCATCATTAACAAGTGAAAACCACCCATCATTAGCACAAGACCTTTGAATAATGTCTTATGTTTCCAGTATATTTCCGCTGCTTTTGCATAAAACGCCTGATCAAGCACGCAAACGACGGCTTTAAGGTGCAGTTTATCTCGTATTTCGCATCCTCTGCAGAGCACTTCATACACAGTCCTTAGATCTGTAGCAGGAGAACCCAGCGTATCTAAGTAACTTATTTCACTTTCCATGACAACCATGCCTTCTCGAACTTTGATGTTGAAACCTGTC